AAAAAAGAAAGAAAGCATTGACATTTTTTCACATCTACATAACCTTTGGGGCCACCTTACATTTCTCAGAGATCTATGGGAGAGCATGATTTATCTGGCTAAAAGGTAAACTTTATTCAATATTTCGATTTTGAGACAATTTTTACCTCTATGAAAAACAAAGTAAGCCCTATGGTCAGTTAGCGAATATACCTGACCAAGTTACCATTCCAACTCCGGAAGCTGAGAATATCCTTTTCATTTCATCTTTTCAGTTTGTAATGAATAGCCAATACTTACTTTCTCCAGTTTTATCAAAATGCTTTAAAGAGAGAAGTGGTGAGAATGAAAAAAGGGATTTTAATATTTCTAATTGAACTCACTGAGCAAAAGTAAGTTACTTCACAAGCGGAAATCCGAACAGTAAACGGACCACTGCTGCAAATAGCTATGAGTAATATTAAGCTTGTACAAAAGAACCAAAAATTACCCAACCCACTTTGCAAGTCTTGCTTGAAACCTTTACATCACTTTTACTGGCAAAAAAAGATAAAAATTTAAAAGGGAACAACTTTTTATTTATTGACGAACTTTTTGTTTCCGTTTTTTTCTTAGAAGGGACATAGCTAGATATTTTTCGTGCAAGAGTCATGATCTGAGATTGTTTCTTGCCAAAAATTCCGGCTGAAGCGAGTTTGTAAGTTTACTTGTGGTTGCAATGACTATTTTTAAAAAGGAAGTTTAACTATTTAAAATCACTGATTAAGATATCTGTTCCGTGTACAGTTCAGTTCGTTTGAATTAATTTCCACCACGATTACATTTCCCCCTTTATTTCTTGTATTTACACGTTTTTGCAGCAGAGGTGTAACACAAGCTTCCATTGGTTGGATGTTTGAATGCGGAAAACTCTCATTGACGACATGCAACACGCTTTCGTTTTTTCCTCTTTCGTACCGAACACGGAAAATACGAACAATATTTATAGGAAAACAAAAACTCATGGGATAACAATTAATAACACTAGCTCAATTGGTAAAAAGAAAAGAGCACCTTGAAGCGTCAGAACACGAACGAAACCTCATTGCGATGGTAGAAGCAACAGAAATAGGATCTCTCTTGCCTATTTAGTTTCAGGAATTTTTTCCTGCGGTATTTAGCCCTCGATGGTCTCAGAGTCTTTTGAGCTCAACTTCTACACTCCATTAGGACGTATTTGCCTTTGAAGAAAAACTTTTTGCTTATTCTTTCGCTTTTTTGCTCTGTTTGAGCAAAATAAATGGTGGACATAGGTGAAGAAGACTTGTGACGTGCCCAGCTTTACAAGCAGGAGAATGGGATCAAAAGTAAAATGGCAGAGAAATATCAGTCGCGGAAAACAAAGAAAGAATCCCATTTAAAGGACATTTCAGTTCATTGCAGAATTTTTCGAGTGTTTTTCTTTGCGCGGCAGAAGTCTTCCTAGGGATCGTATTACTCAATCAATGATGGACCAGCCTTTTTGTTAACCCAAGTTGATCACAAATCTAGCAAAGATGAACTATGGCCGAGAAGAGGAACAGGTAAGAGAAATTAAAAAACTGTACTAATTACCTCATTATCAACCACCAGAGTCCATTTTCTCATTCATGAAGGCTTTTGTCGTACAACCCCCACCCCCCTCTACTCAGTTCATACACCTGAAACATAATTTGACTCGTGAAGGACTCAGACCATTATCTGTACCACGCTAAATACAAAACAAAGAAAAATTTTCCGTCAAAATTCGTGGATTTTTGGTTGATTCGTCATATTCCCTGCATCAAGGCACTTGGACCAACAGCGCCATAGCTGTATATTTTTTTTTTCGTTTTCTTTTTTTCATAGAAAGACTTGAAAATTTTAAACCTCTTGACGATTAAATGTACTCCTACGACGTTTGCCTCCTTCTGAAATATCAGAGACTCGGTGCTCAAATTGCCATCTATAAGGTTTATAAAATATAACAATTTAGCAATGACAAGTAATATCGCCAAATTCTTGCAAGATTTCATGAGCAATATGTTTCATAGCATTTGATGAGTTCGCAGTCCAGACAAATTACACTCAACCCTCGAATGGTAAGTCAATATCAAATTATGGAGGCGCAAATTCAGTCAAAAGGCTGAGGATAACGAGTATTCATCTCTCTTGCAAACGACTATGGAGAAAGACAACTTTTTATGACCACCATATAATCAGGATCCAAACAGCCTTCCAAAACATCAAAGCTCATAGTAACTCTGGGTTTGTTCGTTTGTAATATCGTTAGCCAGTTGACACTATACGCATGCACGGTCACCTTTTGTCCTTCTCATTAGTTACGCATACTTATAATTAAAGAACAATTTACAACTGCTCTTTTGTTTTCATTTGGACCTTTGAAGCTTGGTTAACAAGTGCTGTAGGTAAGAGGGTCCTACTATACAACATGTTACATATCTTGGTATATTAGAAGAAATGAAAAAGCGAAACAACGTTCGACATATAGACTAAAAGGGAAGATTTTAGAAGTACTCAATATAACTAACTCTGTTTTCTTCAAGAAAGAGAGACGACCGATATCGTGTTCAGGGTGCCAATTACCTTTCTCTTTGTCGATATTGTTTAATGATACAAAATAAATGCAGTAGGGCATCTTAAAGAACACCAAACAGGAACTTTTAGTCGCCTGAAGCAATACTGACACCTATTGAGAAATTGTTCCATTTAATTAAGATGAGACAGCTTTTGAACTCAAGGCGGAAAATTTTGCTCACTTTGTTTTCTGCTTGCAATTAGCACTAAAGGGAACAATGGTACATCAGATTACCGCTGTTTCCCTGGTTGTTAACTTTAAATGATCTCAAAATATTTCACTTCAATTACTTGAAAAAGAACCTGGGTTGAAAATACTTCCAAAGCCTTTTTTGATAAGTCTTTGCGTTGATAGACGAAGATAACACTCAGCGAAAAGAAGGCCGGAACATGTTATATTTAGATTGGTCATTTTGGTGTTTTCGTTGCGTGCTGTGGCATGACATTACATGATAAGGTTCGATGGCAAAATGGACTTTAAACGTTATCTTAAAACTATTTTTCTCGTTCAGATATCTTTATCATGTTAATGACATACAAGAGCCGAAAAACACAGGAAAACTCTTGTTGCATGCTGTAGGATCATGAGATGAAGTTCAAAGAAAAATTAGATTCCTGAGATAAATGTTAAAACTATATTTCCTTCGAATACCTTAATCGTATTAAAAACAAAATCTCAACTCCGTCAAACAAACAGAAAACTAAACAGGAACTTATTAATGTCCTAGGGGTCATAAACGCGACTGCACTCAATGATTTATTGTACTTTTTTAGATAATTGTAGTTTAATTGTAATTCCAAGAAACCATCTGAGCAGAAACAGGAAAAAATCCGACTTCAACAGAGCAAAATTCCAATTTGTCCTTTTGAAGTTTGATCACGAAGTTAATCAATAAGAAGCCATGATTTTGATGAAACCGACTCCCATGAAGCGAAAATTGCTTGAAACGCAATAAAATATAACTTCCATCAGCAGACTATTTGCCGTCAAATGTTCATTATCAGCTAAGGAACTAATGTCGTCAGAGCCGTGTATTCTGCATAATTTTTTACGTGTTTACACACATTCACTCCAACGATCAAAGCACTTGGAATCTCATTACCCCTAGCTAAGCTAGAAAAAAAAACAAAAATCTCTATCAGTGTTTAAGTGAATGTTACATCCATATAGCAAAGCTGGCAGATAGCTATGTATTTTTTTGTACGTGCGAGCAGGAAATATTCACCAACCAGGCATTTAAACTAAGACATTAACTTAAAGAGCGATGACGCAAATGTGACGTCAACAATGCCACAACGACACGAACAGGTCCAAGCGCAATGAAATCAAGGAAACGAGTTTTTCAGAAGACTACTTCTTAGGTTATATCATAAAACTTTCATTATGTTATAAATTTTAGAGCGAGTAAAGGCTATTTGCATAAGAACAACCCCATTGATCATCGATTAAATTGGCTTCTTTTACGTCAAAGGTGCGATGACCTTTCTTAAAGGCTGCCCAAGTGTAGCGTTCTGTATCGCGCAAAACCATTGGAAAGACAACTGAGCTTGCAAACTTGCTTCAGCTGAAAGTTTCGCCAAGCTAAGAAACAATCTCAGACCATTTCTACCACACGAGAGATATCGACTGATGTTCTTAAATATGCTCAACCCTTGTAAAAAGACAGCGAATAATTAATTTGCTAAATTGCGTTAGCCTCTTATGTACGTGTAGGCAGAATACACAAGGGCAATACAATAAAAACATCCCGGGAAATACACCAATTGTCACCGATACCTGCGGCCAAAAACACTTAAAATTTCAATTTATAATGAAATCGGCTAAAATGTTTTAGCAACCACAGTAATGCTGTTTGCTAATTTGTTTGACTCCCACGAGGATATCGTGCATTAAACAAATAGTCATATTAAGATGCGTTTCTTGTCAATCAAATTCGTTAAACTTTACGTATAGTTAAGTTGACTTTTGGCCCTCAGTTTCGCGTTATTTTTTAGGAAGCTAAATGTCCATTAGCACTAATTGCTCCATGATAAAACCTAATTAGCATGAGTGTTTGGTGTGATACCACAAAGGAATTTACAAGTGAAAACAAGACAAGGACATAATTAGGTATTAAGCTCTTTCTAACAAAACACCCACACAACCAATATCGCCGTTTGTTCTGTTTTATTCCCTGAGAAAATAAGTCAGCTGTTTCACCGTCACTTTTTGTTCAAAATATTTTCACATTTTCAATAATTCTGCCGAAAAAGGGCAATCGTCACTACAATATCTTTTCGAAATATTGGTGAATAAACAAAATCAAAGGTGTCATTTAAGGCATGATAGCTAAATATTTGTTACACATGTATATAGGACTCTCAACATAATCCTTTTCATCCGTTCTCAAGGACGACGTTGTATCCATCGCACGTAAATCACTGTGAAAAGTCCGCACAATTTTATTTCCTCCCTTGGTTCACTATTTAATCAATATGAATAATTTGGCCATTTAAATTGAATAACGAATGGTAAATTTTTAGATTACGATTACGAAAGTAAACGTGACTGATCGTTTGCAATCGTGACCTACTTCGAACTAAGAATCCCTTTTTTGTAGTCATTTACAAAGCGCCATTCATTCATTCAAGTATCTGAGAAAACTTTCATGACAAACAAAACAGGCAAAATCGGCTGAATGTCAGTCATTACAAAGCTTCGTATTTGTACGATTTAATGCGAAGAATATCTAACTATATCATTATTTAATCTATCAATTAGTTTCAGTCATGCATATCACAGCGCAGATCAAAATCATCAAAAGAAATATCTTAACCCCCTAAGCTGTAATGAGGTAACACAGGTCATCTTCCCTTAAAAAAGTAAGCGTTTGGGGTTTTTGTGCAGTTGTTCATCATTTAATTAATTTAACGACTCGTGGATTTAAGAGAGTTTAAAAACATTTGGAAAAAATAGTTTGAAGCTCCTGGGGCCGTGACTAGAAAATTGCTGTTCTTATTTGCAAGGCGTCGTCTTGGAGAGGCCAACTCGCAGAAGTTCGCTTTTCACTTGAGCTTGTTTCGACTAGGTAACACACGTAAAAAAAATTAACATATCTCCATGGTGTTGTCATGACAACTTCGCTGTCAATCATGCCTTGCATTAAAGGCAGTGAAAATTCCGGGTTCGTACATTTAGACGTTGAAGTGCGAGGAAGCAAGCGATATTTTTACGGCTTATGCAAACGTTTTTGTATGTCATGGAAAGACATGCAACATCTGATAAAGGTTAAAGCACCAACATTTACCTCTGAGACTAGCTATACTGTGCTCATCAATAGCGGCTGTAAGTAATCGTGAAGTCTAAGCGGAAATACCTCTTCCTACTAGGAATAATTGCACAGAGGATGACTGTGACAGTAAAATATATATATTTTTTAAAAACGACACCTGGTAGGGCCCAAAAACCACTCCCATGGTATGGCTTCGTGATCTACACAAGAAAGGAACGACTATTCTAGATAGCTACTTCTCACTGCTTAAGTTAAGGACTGCTCGAATTTATCATTGTGGGAGATTGAGCAAAATGGATATCTGAACAGTATGGGTGTTCCTATGGACATATTTGAGCTGCAACATTGTAGCCTCATTATCAAAAATTGCTTGTCGTGATGGGGCTGATGGCAGCCTCACACGTCCTGTCTACGTTCGGCCAAAAACGGGCATGAATCAGACAGCAGGATAGTGTGCCAAAAATGAGCGGGACTAATAAGCCATTACGACAAAGATGCACAAGCTGTTACAGTGAATCTCATCATTCTGACATTGACGGCCTTGAGGAGCTGGTCTAAGCAGAGCAAGTAAAACACGCACCTACTACAATTCTCTCTGAATTGCTACACGTGTTTTTTTTTGCTATCTCAAGCTGCAAGGACCTATTTAATGCAGCCAATGATACAAAAACATATTAACATCAGAACCTCGGCTGAAAAGTTATGGTAAATGCCAAGAAACCGAGTACTTGTTGAACGAGTAAGTTCGTCTCATAGTATCTTATGGAAGGTCACGTGACTACTTCAGCGGCGGTCATTCTGCCTTCGCTGCGCAGAGACTACATTAAATTTGCATAAACGCTGAGAAGGAAATCAGGAATTTGTTTCATTTTCTGAACACCTAATTCATGAAGATGGGAAATCCGTCTGCTGGATTATAAAAACCGAAAGGGAAGTCTTGTCGAAATGTGAGATTACACCATGTGTATAATCTCCTTTCAGGACATCCGGAAATCAGAAGTATGAGTTTGTATTTCAAGTTCCCTTTCAGTTTGTAGACAATTTCCTTTATAGAATGTTCGAATTGTTTGCAGAGAAAAATTGAAAGTCCTGTGATGTGTATTCAAAAATTCCATAGGTGCTCTGATCCGGCAACCTAACAGTATAAGTGCAATCATTGGGATTTCAAATGAGATTTTCCTGCAATAACAGCACGAGGGGTGCAGCAGACACCAAAGAGGGATGGCTCACGTGCTTTTAAACTTAAATTGTTATTCTTGTGTTTGCAGGGAAACTAGAACACGTGGAACGTCGACCCTGGAGTGAAGTATCAGCTCGGTCATGCATGCCCGGCAGACGGTATGCTCTGCTTTGTGGTGGGGGCTGGATACTTGAAATGACTGTTCTTGAGAACTTTTTCTTTTCTTTTGCTCTGAAACCAGTCATCTTTTAGCCAAACATTTTATGGCGTTCAACTGATCTCAGAAAAGCGTATGTAAGGTGTTGACTTAAGTTCTCTGAGTTTTTTTTAAAGTTTTAGGGGGCCTGTTCTAGAGGAACTAGCCATTAAAAAGTTTAACTCACATCAAATATTCAACCAATTAGCGCCAATTAAATATTTGAATTAGGCTTGTTTACCGAAGGCTTTATTAGAAAGCTTTTCGTTGTTATAGAAGTCACGGTGGATATTAAGACTTAAAGAATTTGAGGACTCCCTACTAAAAACTGGTTACTAAAGGGATTGTAAAGCACGTCAGATGTTCGCTCACTGTTGTCATTATTTGTTTATCATGTTTCAAGATTTCTATCAGAAATGTGAGTTATCATTGGGGGCTCATTTTTTATTCAGTCATGTATGCCGAAAGTCAAACTATTTCACATCTGCTTAATGCTACGAAATAGCTTTTTTCAAATTTCCAGACCAAGAAATATGTTACACAACGCGGTTCTATGAAATATACGTATTTAAACGTGTTTTAAGCAAACATGTTGCCAACAAAAATAAGGATTTCAAAGTATGGAGTAGAAATTAATATGTGCAAATCGCTCTGAGAGCTCACACTGTCCGCTCTGTTGAAAGCTCTGGGTCATTTTCACAAAATTTTTGGAGGTATACGTAACCGATTGTCTAACAATCCTTTTGTTCCACACCCACTTCTTACTGCGAGCAAGTTTACAATTTTTTAAAACCACTATGATGCCCACAGCAAAAGTCTACGCAGGAGAACATCGGTCTTGACGCAGTTGAGTGGGCCGTTGATTATTCTTCTTCAAAATGTTTTAAAGGTCAACAGGCAGGATGTCGTTTTAAATTTGTTGTTTTGAGGTATCTAACCGTGACTTGTCACGATGTCACTAATCATCTCGGTCCTTAGTTACCGCCGTAACTTGTCAACACAAATTACACCTACGCATTCACGAAAACCCAAAACAATGATGTCCACTTCGCTTTGGTTTCAAAGTATACACGAAAGATAGCGCAAGAGATACTGGAGATTGCCACGTGACCAACCTCACAACAAGACTACAATAGTAGTATTGACTTCCTGACGTTCGTGCAAAACAAGTCGGGTGATATTGTTTGTATCGCCAGAAAATGCTCTTGAATTACCGCAGTTAGTTTATTAGGCAATTAAGCAAATTTAAAACCACATAAAAACTTTTTGGTACAGCAGATTTAAAGGTCCTAATGGTGATTTGAAAACATTGTTAAGTGACGTTTGTCTCTTTAAAAAGTGGTATCTCTTTGGATACACTTGAAAGAACTAAAGGCATTTCTGCAACTTTGGACCTATGTACTAAATGTCTGCGATTCTTAACCTCCTCAAAAGGAAGTTTGATCGAAAGAAAAGGCTCTTTAAGACCATATACGATGATAAGTTGTCCAAGAAAGAAAATAAGACTACAGCATATTTTTAAAGACCGTGGGAATCTGTCGTGTTTACAACAGGAACCATTAAATGCCCTTCAGCTAATCACCTGGATGTTAATAAAACGTTACCGAGCGATCAATTATTTGGCAGTCTCCCGATGAGGAGGGTATTCCGTAAAGAGGACTTTAATAACAGATTACACTTTCTCACTACAAAACTTTCTGTTTTCGACAAAACAGCCTGGACCATGTTTTAGTAGTGGGTAAAAAAACACAAACCAACACACATGGTGTATGATTTAGTCTACAAATTTATCTTCAAAACAGTTGACCCGCGCATAAAATATCCCACTTCTTTCAGTGATTTGCACAGTAAATGTCCTTGATAATCATTACACTGACGACCTTCGGCAAGCATGCAGGCTGCCCGGAATTCTTAATGCGCAGTCTTAACGATCGCAATATAAAATGAGCGAGTAAATTGGCAGGGCTTCAATTTATAACTTTCCAGCATAGACGGATATTTTTGAAGAGGTTTGTAATGTTTGTATTTTTGGAAATTCGATCGGTTTGGTGTCATGTTCTGGGCCAAAGTGCGGCTGAAGATACGTAAGCGCTGTCGTACACACATCAATGAAGACTACATTATGACGTTTACAGCTTCCTTATCGAAACGAAGCTAAACAGAGGAAATGTTTAAAAAAAAGCGTTTGCTGGTTTTGTGGTCATGCTGGTGATAAATTAACCGAGGCAATTTAAACTAAGTAATTGCTAACCGAAAAAACACACGAAATTTTGTGCCTTGCTGTTCCTTAGATCGAAATGTTTCGTACTACACAACACCAAACCACTTTTGGCGGGAGTTTCTCTGTCGCCCACACACCAGCATATTTGACGTCATTCATGACGACAAGAAACCGTTCTAAAACGTCTCAACAAAATTTCGTCTGCAAACCGTATAACAAGAAAATCGGAAGTTTACAAAACCGCTGAAACTCTTTTCAACGAAAATGTGTCGCAAAATAACAGTCATGCAAAGTAATTTACGTACGTTTGAAGCATGATTTGAAGCAGATTGTCACCACATTCCACCAGAGGAAGTGAAGCGTTACCTCAAAAACACGCCATATTCTTCCAATCCAAAGAAAAGACATGGAGACAATGAATTTTTTCCTGTCTTATGAACATTCTGATGAACGAAACGTGGCAGATAGAACGAAAAACATTTGGTACTAACGCATTAAATGCAGACAAGTGTGCATTGTGTAATATTCCAGGGGGGTTAAATTCTTGCCTAACTATGCAGGCTTGAGCGAGCTGTCTTCACAAATACATATGATCCGATTAAGCAGCACCGCGCGTGCAAAAGTGAAATGTTTAAGCTTCATAAATTTGACAGGAGTCATGTGTTTGATAGAGATCTATAAAGGTTTAGAACACAGATTTGTAGAGGGTACGACAATATTGTCCTATCTGGCGTGACAACATGACAACCTACATGAGAGGCAACTCACGTACGCCACCGAAACAGAGTCCCATCATAATTTTAACTATCGTCTTACACTATAAAGAAGTTCTAGTCTGCAATATCATAAGCAGTTTGAGACATCTCTTTAGCAAAGAGTCAATACACTTTTCTAATTGCGGTAACACTATCACTGAAACGAAGGTGTAGATTTTAAAAGGGATTTTTTTGCCCTCCTTCTTTGTGACGTCAGAGCCCATTGTGTCGAAGAACACCACCGGATGTCATAACAACCATTGGCCTGTCATTCAAACCATATTTTAATCACAAATGAATGAACTGTTTTTAAACGAGGATATCAAATGGGCTTAATTACAACGTGCTTGCACTGGGCAAGACATCACACGATTTAACTCCAAGAGAAAGTGAATTGTGACACCGGGCGCTCGGAGACGACGAGAACCAGGATTTGAACGGTAACCAGTCCGGCAGAATTATTTCATATTCACAAAGCCACAAAGCTCCAAAACGCAAGTATTTAAGAACTCAGACCTCAGACATAAAGCGAAGACCACTCTTAAGTCTCATCGTCAAAGAACGATAGCAATCCGCACGGTAAGTGTCATGCGCACAACAATTTCGGGCCGTGGTACAAAAGAAGATTGGATTAGGGTGAAAAGTTATTTGCGTACTTTCCATGTGGAATTTTTTTACATAGAAGAAAAAAAGTTTTCTGTCGCTATGCTGTTTTCGACGTCTTAGGACAAATCAAAAACCTTTAACTTGTGCTTGTAAGGCAAGAATGAGTGAGCTACGACTGTCGTCTCTTTTTTAAACATGTCACTTAGACAAACAAGATATTGTTTTTATGCTGGTTTTTTTTGTTTTGCTTAATTTTTCAAAAAAAAAAAAAACAAGATCGTGCTCGTGGACATTACCATTTGTGGACGTGAAAGTTTTGTCCTATTGTGCTCGAGATCGTTGGTGTTTTAATTAAGTCGCCAGAACTCTGGAAGGTGTCTTCTTTGAGTTAATCACGCGTGACCAGAACTAATCGCGCGCGAGCACCGCGCACCTTAACAATTAGCATTCGTTCGGCTCCTGAATGAATTTGCAATTAAAAACTGGTTCAGTGGCGACTGTTGCCACAAGTTACCAGCCACTTAAAACAACTATTTAGACGCGTTGCTATCCTTTAATTTTAAGGGATACAGATTTCCCAAAGCAAGTAAATTGAGTATATATTCCGTAACATTTTACTTTATCATAAGACTTACATTTATGGTATTACCGGCCGGATACAGCTCTTTTCAGTAATATAACACTCCTAGCTCCAGTATAACATGCGCAGTGTGGCTTTATTCGTGTGACTTCTTGGCCTAAATAACCTTAGACAACCTGTAGCAGAATGGGCCGGTAAAAGTTCCTAGTTTTCCTAGAAAGGGTTTCGCCGGAAACGCTTCCGGTAGAAGTCACGTCTAACGACTTCCATCGCGCAAGTTGACGTTTTTCCCGGAGACTGAAGCGAATGTTGTTAAAGCCAGTAAAAAAATCATATAAATAGTCTCAGCATGTTCCAATGTTCTATTTCAAACACTGTCACCTACTTATTTGTTATCAAAAAAACCTATATACAGGCCTTGGGTAAGTCACACGAAATTAACCCACGAGTAACGCAATCAATGACTAGCGCACTCGGTTCCGCTAGTTTATAAAAAGATCAGATCTGAACGGTTTCGAGTCCAAAATAAAATTTTCGCTTTATTTTCATTGTAGAAAATGGTCCAGGATAATAGCGTTCCTTCCAGTCCAGTAGACGTGGCTTTTGAGGAACTCTTTGAAGGTAAGAAAAAATACTTAGTCCAAGTGAGCACCTGTTTGCTGGGGCATAAAATTATGCACCTAACAAGCATAAATTATCATACTCGGGTATATTTTTGTGCTACGTGGGCCTGAATAATTTGAAGACCTGTCACGCGACATGAGCCGGTCGCTTTTGTCAACAGATTATTTCAATTGTGCGGTCATGCTAACGTAGGAAACAACTCCTAAAGTGAAACTACTCGATCATAATTTTACTACCTTTAAGAAGCAATTGGAGTGCTACAGTCCTTTCAAGAAATGTGCTGAAACATAACTCTAACACCGTTTGTATTGGCTTAAGTAAATTTATAAATAGATCCAAGTCATCCTGTTTACGTCAATGGTCACACACCTCGCTCAGTGATTGGCTAAACCTGGAACGCACGTGAGGAGGTGTGCGTCATGAAGAAGGCGAATAACGTAATTTGTAGTACTTAGAATCCCCGAAAGGATGTTGAAAAAACCGATCATTATACTCGATCGGTCATTCTTAACGCATCTAGCGAGCGACAAGAACCTTAACCTCACGCAATTGTGAAAAAACCAAAAACACTTTGCGGTTCAGCCCACGGGTAGGTGTCACAAATATGCATGCAATTTAATCGGGTATAGTAATTGAAGGCGAATTTTATTCATGACAATACTTTTACGAGAGCTGCTATTTCATCGATAATGTTGTAGTTGAAGAACACGGACTGCGTAGCTTGATCCTCGTGGTTATACACAGTACGTCAGACTTAATCAAGCTTCCACGCCTACACGTCGCACCAGCCATTCACAGGCCTCGCTTGATATTAAAGATTGACAGTTGAACAAGTACAAGTGCTTCTCAAACGATTCTTCCTTTCATTTCTTCTACAGTTATTCCAGAGTTAAAGATGTTCACCCCGGCACAAGTCGTACCAGGTATTTTGTTTTTTCTCGGTTGCTTGATAACGTTTTTAAAGCGTAGTTCAGCTAACTTCTAAGTTTGCGCTAACGGGGAGACTTAACCATTTCTCGCGCGTGGGAGGTCATACAAGGATAGCTAATCCTCTGTTATTATCGGCGCGCCAAAATTTAACAAGTCCCCATTTTATGTTTAAATTCTTAATTTTCTCAGAGTCACTATTGAGAAGAAAAAATTTCAAACCCCCGACTCAGCCCAAGCTAACGATGAAATAATATCTGTAAACACAGAAATATCAACGTGCTTTGAATATTAAACCACTTGGCCAAAACAGCGGAAGTTGAACGCGGCTGATCGAGTCGACCGAACCGCGTTAGCCACGCAAACGTCGACGGTACACTCACCAACGGGAAAAAATTCTAAAATAACCATCAAGGACAAGGCAATATTTTCGGCTACGCTACATAATTCCTCTGAAAATAAGATGATGAGTGAAAGACCAGCAAGAAAGAGTTCTACACGTGATGTACTTAGATCGTTGCAATGTCATTGAGCGAAAAAACAGCAACGTTAGCAAACTACTTCGGGAAATTGCGGTTTGTAAATTCAACCTTAGATTTTTCTGTTCGTGTTTCCTCAGGATAGTTGTGGTTAGCCAACGACACGATCCCGCTCAAAGAGTTATTTCTAGAGCTATTCCTTAAAGATATACTTTCACTTTCCATTGAGATTAAGTCCTCTTTTTTTTAATTTCAGGCGCTGATAACGCGGAGCAAGATGGGCTTATGACTGGGTCTCTGGGCCTCGAAGAAGGTAATAATTTACATATTACCTTAGAGAGCCAAACACCTGTACCTGAAAAATGTAGAAAAGGAAAATTTAAAACTTGATAATAATCACTTGCGTCTCAGAAACCAAGCAACGTGAATAAATCGAGGCAACGTGCCAAGTATATCGAAAAAGGCAAATTGATGATAAGTGTTCAGACAACAAAGAGGAACCAGTTGAGTTTGGTGTTGGTTTATTTCTCTAACTCTTACCCTCCTTGTTCTTCATCTAGCCCGGATGTACAAGAGTGAGCCAGATCTGCGAATTAAGAGCGAGCCATCAGCCTTTAGCGAGGTAACCAACTACTGGCTTCAATGCAGCATGCAGCTGGGCGACACGCAATACCAGACACACGCGCGTGATCCTTTCCTATGCGCGCGTGATCCCTTCGCCAGCTTTCATGAGCAGATGGATAACTTGGAGTGGCGGCCGCCGGTACTTCAAGCCATGGCTCTGTGCAAGCAAGAATCTGCCTCTGAAGTAGACGAGATGTTGATAAGTCAGACGCAGAACGCTTGTCAGCTTGGAGCAAGAAAAGAAACATCTGAAAGTCAATGCAAAGTATTCATGCCTTCGTACTGGGACCAACAGTTTGTGAACGACTGTGAACCATGGTACGATCATCTAGAGAATCCTCGCGTTAAACCTTTCGTCGGCGGACCTAGGAACGGCATCTTCAAGAGCGAAAACGCAAACAGCTTTTTCAAAGAAGAAGATCCTACGAAAGACGAAACTGACATGGTGCAGGACCGAGACTCCGAAAGCCCCGCGAGTTTCACGAGCGTGGACAGTCCTCCAGAGTTTCCGTGGAACACACGAACCATCCCCGGTTCCAGAACGAGTGATATAAGCGCATTTAGTTCAACAGAACAGAAGTTTGTGATGCACAAAAACCACAAAACAACCTTTAAGTCTGGTCGCCCTCGATTGTGTCAATTCTTGCTCGAGCTCCTTAACCACCCAGATAAATATGGCTACATGATCGACTGGATCGACAAAGAGAAAGGCGTGTTCAAGTTCATCAACTCCAGTGAAGTAGCGCGCTTGTGGGGAAATCGTCGTAATAAGCCCTCCATGAAGTACGAGAACTTTGCTCGCTCCTTGCGCACCTACATTGCTAAAGGAATACTTGCAAAGCCTCGCAGCAAACTGGTCTACCAATTCGCCAGAGTAAAGAGTTGAAGCTCTTTACAACAACCACAATACTACCATACTCGACCCCAACCTCCGACACAGAAAGAACACTAGAATCGCCTTAAAGATGAGACCAGAAGGAAGAAAATCCCAGATGTTGTTGCTTAAGGCACTACAGTGTTCGGAATGGGTTCGCCACTAGGCGGAAAAGGAAAGACGCCGAAGAACGAGACATCAAGTCATAAGGACTCGACCTGAGTTTATACCACGAGACTGAGTTTATACCACGAAGAAAAAAGATATTTAATTAGATATTACGTACGATATCCAATCGAATTAGGCGCAGTCGAACCTTCTGAACAACGTAGAATTTGAAGCAAGAATAACCTAAAAAGACAGTATTTTTTATTATAACAAAGTTAAATTGCAAGTTAAATAATAATTAGAGTTTCCCTTTCCTCTGTCCTTTTACTTTACTGCCAAAGTGTTCGATTTCGAGGCCATATGGCGTTCTCTTATAATATAATTGATTTTTAGATGACAATGCAAAAAGTTAGATGATGCTATTTTGATCCCTCCCCCGAAAAAAAAAAAAAAGAATAAAACAATGACTTTTCTCACTTGGCTACGGTCACCCCTGACTCTAAAAACATATAAGAAAAAGGAGAGTATGCTCTTAAGAATAACTTCTCCATACTGTGCTTGCCTTGCAGAGACGTCAAGCGAATAGTATTTACTATGTAAAGATACAGGCCACATAACTTTTATCGTGATTCTGACTGTGTCAGACGTCGCTGGGTGATGACATTTTTAAAAGCATGATTTCAAAAAACAAAAACAAAGGCTTTCTTATCGTTCTTAAAACTTTTCGTACACAAGCGTCAATTTCTTGAAAGGTGTGTGATTTTCAAGGTGCAAAAAATTTTAATCGTAATCATAGTCAAGGATCGAGCAATTTGCGCCAAAAGATATTGACAAGCATAGTTTATATGACGTTTTATAGAGTAATATTTAAATTTTATGAATTTAAGGCTAAAATTTATGATTTGTAGAAAACCGGGAAACTATACCCAATAAAAGAAGTGGTGAAGAAAATTTGTGAAGTGCGTGTTTTAGCTTAGACACTACGCGAATAACAAAGAGAAGTACATTTTTCAGGTCACGTATCGCGATAAAAACATGATACAGTGTCGTTTGTTTTTATATGAACCTCTTCGAAATCTTCACCCCGAATGCCAATTAATTGCAGCAAATCCAAAGATGTTGCCTGAAACGAATTCTTTGTGTAAAGGAAAAGAATATTAACGTAAAAAATTCTTTAAGAAGGAGAAGACGGTTATTTCGCTTCGTTCAGTGGCAGAGAAATTCTGAGAACTTCCAAGAGTTCTAAGAAAGATAGCGGTGAATTCTAAGAATTGCAGCTGCATGGCAATTCTCATTATACTCCCTAGACTTGCTACTGAGGTGACACATTTCTTCGTAACAAAAATGAACTTCTGATGAGCTGATCAAAGGTATACTGTTACAAAGAAAACTTTCAGTTTCTGGACGACAAATTTAACATAATAATTTTTCCTACCGTGTAAAACTACTTGTTTGTGTCGATGACAGACAAGCGAGTTCCCTGACCCAAGGATATGAACAACGTAGATCATTTTAATCCAGACCGTGAAGGTGCCACCGGTTACTATACTGGTTTCGATTAATTTTCGCACCTTACAAGAGAAATCCTTGAACATGGTGAGAAAGGAAAACTCAGGGAATAATGATAGTAAAAAAAAAAAAGGAGGATAATAAAGGATGACGAAGAGTAATACCGATTGCGAACGACATACTTTACAATTTCCTTTTGACTTTGGAATATACACAATCCGTTACTTAGCCGCTTTGAGTTCGTGAGCTTCCTTTCAAGTAAATTAATCCTCTCATCTTCAGCTATACTTGCCGCCAGCTCTATAGACATAAACACAGCAACAAAGAGAGCCTTTTGTGTTGTGTTACTGTTTCCATATGCGTGGGAACCCAAAACGTTGTGGTGAACTGTTCTTCCCGAAAAAGCGTCGATGACTGTCCAAATGCAAGTTCGTTTCATTAAAACTGTAGATTGCCAACGGGGCACAACAATTTTTCCATAGATGCGACGCTTATAGTCTAAAATGAGCCTTTTCATGGTTATAACGAAACATATCCAATATTCTCCAACTACAAAGGAAAAACTTCTCGCAACTCGTCTCTCGTGTCGCACTCGCACACGCGATGAAAGCGTATCTTGCGTGGACGACACGCAACACCGGAAGACTTAAGCTACCTGTTCACGCCCACTATATTCATATGCAGTTAATTTTCGTTTGGTATAAAAAACAATAGGGGCCCTTGAATTGAGCACATTCAATAATATAAGACCATTTCGTATTTCCTATTTCTCTTTATTGTCCGGATGTGACGTCAATGGTGGATCCGGTGCTTATTATGTGCGCTCTATGAACCAACAGAGGAAGTAAATGCTTCGAACGCTTTCAAATACAGGTTTAGTCCTGCCTTTTTTAATATCTTGACCTGTCGCAGCGTTTCCAATCGGAAATATCCAATTGATATTAAAAATATTGCCTGTCTAAACCTGCTGAAGATGTTTAGTTTTCCCTAAAGGGGCTCATGAACAATACAGACGTAAATAAGATATAAACATACAAAAGTTATTACCTACGATACACCAGTAAAAATACTGCAAATATGGCACTGAGTGTTTGCCTTCGAGTGATTAAGTATGAGACTAGGGTATTTAAGCATTCCGAAAAATTGTGCCGTGTGTCACGATCAAAACACTGATAGAGTAGATATTTTAATATTCCGGACTACGAAGCAAGAATCAGCGAGAGCACAAATTTTCTTGGAGAAATAGAAAAACTAAACTTCACGATTAAATACTACTAGCCAAGACATTAAGCCTCAATTGGCATAAAAACCCAGACTTCCCTTAGTATTTTGTTGTAAAAGAAATACGACATTTTATTGACAAGTGAGAAAAAGGTGAATATATTGTAGAAGTTGTCTCTAGGTAACAAATGGCACTCTGGACGAAAACGTTCGTCAATGTTAAATATCGTATAAACAACTTGCGGTCAATTATTCAACTGTCATCGAATAGAGAAAGTAATACAAACGTCGCTGTTCCACAACGAGAACAAGACAAACAAAAGAAAAAGTAGTAGATGGAAGACTTAGAAGGAGCAAAACGCGCTAAAAACAAGGGAAATGAATTATTTGATAAAATCGCGTTACTCCGAGAGTGAAGTCGTCTCCCGCCGGTGTTCAACAAGGCTCCGCGTGCCGAAGAAATTTACGCGCACAACCTCTTTTAAACTGCGTCCCTTCTCTAGCAGGTGTTGGTGGCCGACTTAATAAACAAAGCAGCATAGCGTTTTAAGTTGACCTTGTCGGAAATGTGAATCATTAATTAACAAGCACAAGTACAAGCCTATGGCACTCTGTCGAAACCGTATGTATACTTCTCAAAATTCAAAGCTTCCGTTTTGCATCCCCTGGCAACATGACAACTACAAACCTCTTTTTAGCTCAGGTAATGAAAGGCTATATTTCATTCTTCATTTGTTATCTACTACAAAGGTCAGACACCAACGACCTTGCAATAAGCGAGATCTAAAAACAGCACAAGGAGTGGTTCCAAGACGGGAATTATTTCATGACTAAAGCATGTTGTTCCTGTTTACAAGCGTTGAATTATCATAACATCGTCATTCAAAGAACTCGGTTTTATCTGCGCCAAGCAGGTGTTCGAGCGACAAGGAGGTTATTTTGTTTGAAAAAAGAACATTTTTGACATAACTTTTCGATAACCAAGCGACCAAAGTTATACTAATCCCTGTCATGGCGGTGCGGGATTAGAGAAAGTTTGCATAAGCAGCGTTATTACGAGGTGATGTTGAAAATCATTTTGGTTCCACCTCTAGGACAAATATCACTTTTTCGGGGCACTTTGAAGTGAGCTTGTTTTACTAGCCTCACGGGAAGAAGTCTAACACGTGGTTTGTTCAGCAGCATCAGTACAATACCTGAGATAAGCATGCTATTTTCCTGAGTTTTGTGCAAATTTTTACTTTTGAATTTAAATTAATAAAACGTCATAATATATCAAATTTGGTTTTCGTTCATTTACTGGTACCTGCTTCAACAAAAAACACAAAGCTAGAACGGTGTGATGATTGAGAGAGTTGTATTACGATGAAGGCCCACATGTGACGCTCAGTCTTCGTAACACATTAAGTAAATTGTGTTAATTTGGCTTAAGTAAAATTTAGCGCCTTATAAGGCCACTGAGTCGGTAACGTGCGAAGAACACTCACAAAAGATGAAATTTGCCCGATTATGGACATGAGAGCAATGATTTTTCTTGTGATTTTTACAAGGGTTAGTTTTTTCCCCCAGAAGTTTCATCCATTGAATAAGCCAGAGAAGACTGTGTTAGGACTCATCCAGTTACTTATCATCTCCTGCACGTCAAACATGAGCAGTTAAGCTACACAAATCTGCCAACACTTGAAACATAAATTTACTCACTTAAACATAAAGTTCAGAGACGATGCTCCAAGGTTAGCTTTACAAAAATATTGAACGAGCTGCCACATTACGAATAAATCAGACAAGTCAACCGTTCGAAGTGCAAATCATTTAATCTATTTCATGACTTAAGCCACTGCAACTGCAATGCAACTCAACCGAATTAAGTAGGATTTGCATTTTCCGTCGCGAGGGGTGGATACCGTGCGAAAATTATTTTTTAAGACTTACATTCGTAAATAATCCTTTAATGGAATTACACATAGCATCACGGACTGCTATCATCAACTTGAGACGACAATTCACCAGGAGATCACGTTTAGGTAAATCGTTATGCTCGCAGGTGCTAAACTCAACCGAAGTTGAATACATTTCCTATCAGGTGCAAATTGTTTTTGGACTGTCAATCCAAAAAGATTAATGGAGTTAAAAACGCCATCACGTACGCTGGCAATTGACAATCATGTCAGTCTACAAAACAGGGTTTGCAGACGTTAACCATGCAGTTATTTAATGCTGACATATACTGAGTCAAAAAATTCCAACTCAAAGTGACCTAAATGAAAGATAAAAAATCCTTATTAACTTATGTTAGAAACTCCGGTTCGTGAAAGACAATCTTACCTTTTGACTAAATGTAAAGACTCTGCGAGTCTGATATGTCTGAGGTCCTATCAGTTCTACGAGTCGAGTAAATTGCATTATAAGTCAATTGAAACTGAGGGAGCAGTTCCAATTTAATGTCATAACAGATGATCGATCTGTAACAGTGACTCTTGGTCATTTTACAGCATCTGTGTTAACGATACCGCTTCTTTCTGTTTCGATGTAACAATAAAACGAAGAATCTAGAGCGCATCAGTGTCTCATTGTAGTCAAGATCCTTTGTTATTTTTCATTAAAGGTATCATAGAGAAAGAGCCATTAAAACGTACTAGACGAAGCTTCTTCTGTGCGGAATTTTAATATTTATAGTCATAATTCTGCAACTTTCGTGAAAGCGTTTCTTTTATCTATACGCTAGCCACTGCCCATCGTAGTTTTCCGCAAAGTTGTGCTTGAATAACTAACAAACAACTTATCCATTCGACATATCTTCTGAATCAATTAGCAATAACTCAGTAACCATAAATAAGAACATTAAATATCACTAGAATAGACCTTCAAGCGACCGACGGCCAGAGGAAAATCGTTTGTTGACTTCCTAATAGAGCTAAGAAAGGTTAAGCTTCCTACTTCATTTCCTACATTGGCAAAACCATCGCTGAGTCAATATTCCAAAATATTTTCGAAAATGTTTCGAACATTACTCTTGTTGCCTCGCTTTCCATGTTGATAATAAAGCTCTGAAAAGGCAGCTTAGATGAATCTTCAGTCATTTCATCATCAGAGATCAGAGCAGTGATATTGAATATCTAATTTTCCTTGATGATTGCAGTCAGAATTTTAAACTCATGTTACAAACATTCATTACCATCTTACTAATGATTGCAGTCAGCATTTGAAACTTATGTTACAAA